TCTGGCCTTAACTCGAACGATATAAATGAACTTTAAACTTTGGTGGAAAAGTAGTCCGTGTTAAATGTGAAAGGATCGCTTTACGAATCTCTACCTAATTTGTGTATGTAGTGGAATTTATTAAGGTGACCATATGATGTGAGCCCGGTCCTTTAGTTCATAGAAAATTACTTAAGAGGTCTAAGTGACTGTTTGGATGCTTCCATCACTTTTCCCTTTTAATTTATTCACTCGCAACAATAAAGCTTTAGGCAGAGGGATGTGTTGGGATAGGTAGACACGAAAATTATACAAAACGTATTTAATTTTTTATCTATAAATTGCTTTATTGACGAACTAATAGTTGGAAAAATACTTGGAAAAAATGATGATGCAGATGAAGATTAAAGGGAAGGGCGCGATTAAAGGGAACAATTAGCCACTCACTCTTTGAAAACAAAATGACAGTCAGTAGCCATAAAAAGAAGTTCTTGAACAAAACGTATTCGTATATCTATAACAATCGGATATTTCGAGTCAGTGGGTAAAATGGTGTATTTCCCACCTTATATATAGGAAGCCATGGCGGCGCTGTACTCGTGAAATTGTGAGTTGATTGAGATTCATAGAAATCCTTTTAGAGTTTGACGCGATGTATAGGAAAAACGCAGAGTTTAGTAATTGGAATTTGAAATTTGCAGAAAAGCACCGAACAGTCATAAGGAATGCTTCAAATCCCATAGGATAGGTACACTGAAAATTGTCAAAACAAAAATAGCCAGAGTGAAAGCATACGTTTTCCTGATTGCTTGGCTTAATGAAATTTCTAAAGTCTTATCTTGATAACGATGGGATACCTACCCCAGCCTAACTCAGCTGATTGAGCTTAAGTTTTTCGGCCTCACAATCACCTAAAGATAAAAAACTAAAGCTTCCGTTTTTATATAAATCACTCTCTACTGATTATTGCTTGCCATATTGGGTAATTTTTCAATCATATATCATTGCTGTGCGTTACATGTTAACAATGTAAATAAGTTGGAATTGTCTTTATTATGAGGCATGAGTCAATATATCTTCGTTGGAAAACTGAGCAGATTTCTTTGCCCAAAAGCACTTGGCTTTGCTAAAATTCATTAATCTACCATCAGGTGAGCAGAATAAAGAATGAGAAATTTTCTATGAATTATAAACCCGAATGAAACTAAGCCTATTCGACCATCATTTTCCATGGCCGTCATATATAAGAATAGAGGATTTTTTTTTTTTTTTTTTTTCTTGAAAGCAAATTTAAATTAATTTTTTATTTTTTTTTTTTTTTATATCTAAGATTTCTTTACTTAAATCGAATAAATGAAATATTTTTTCATTTTTTCATTTTTTCATTTTCTCATTTTCTGTTTCATTTTGCTTTTAACAAAAGCTCTCTGCACTAAAGTGGTTATTTTGTTAAACAAAGGCTAACAATTTAACAAAAACATAAATCTATAGCTAGCTATATGCGTAAGTATAAGCGTGTGAGAGTTAGTTTTGTACAGAAAGAAAGCAATTTAAGAAAACGGAATAGATAGAAAACAAAAAGTAAAAAGATCTCCAGTAGCAACAGCAAAGTTATATTGTATACTGTAACCGTACACAACATTCCATTGTTGATTTGAGTTTGAGTTCATTTGCGGAAGAATTTGTTTCATTGAAAGTCAACTCTGAGGAAAAATTGCTGGTGTACAATGAAAGTGTGGTCATTACGGTAGACTGAAGATAAAGCTTTGTGTTTATGTGTGTGTATGTATGTGTGTGTATATATATATATATATATATATATATATATGTGAGTGTTGGCTCCTTAATTTTTGTCTCTTTTTTTCTTTTCTCGCACAGTTTTGCACTATGAATGCTATTATTTAACATCCTTTCTTTATTATTTTTTTTTTTTCTTTTTTTTTTTTTATTATTATTTTTTTTTATATATTTTATGAAAGTCTCTGGAATTTTTTTTTTATTTTTTTTTTACATTTTTGTTTTCTAAAAATATATATATTTTCTATTTGCTGAGAATGAGTTATAAACAACAGTTTCATTGTTATTGATACTCTTTACACATTTGTACACACAGCAAAGCAAATGTAATGTTATATATGTGCATAGAGTGTACATATGTGTATATATGTACGCGTCTGTATGAAGTAAAAGAAGTGTGTCACTTGGGTGTTATTTTACGATGCTCACCATTGAACTTTAAAAGTCATAAACATAAATTCTACTTTAGTCCACGCAAGTCCATTTCTCTTAGTTTTCTTTACATTCATTCTGAAATGAATTCACAACAGTAACGAACACAAAAAAACGAAATAAACTTTAGACCGAATTTTGGTTACCCGAATTGAAATGACACTATCGCTCAATAACATAAAATGCAATCTTGCTTGTATTGGATAATTAACTATTTCTCCGATAAGCTCGCAACTTATCGTAGAAAGCTTCAATGTTTTCAGATCGGAATTAAATTTTCTACATATTCTTTCTTTCGTCTTTGAAATGAGCGTAAGATTTTTAAAGAATTACTGCCAAGACCACAAGCCCATTAGGAATTTAAACGTTTGGCATATTAAATGAAGAAGTATTTTATACATATATATATATATAGCATTAAATTCAATATGCAGTAGAAAAAAATAAAAAATTTCTTAGTTATGGATACAGAAAAGGGTCGATGAGTGACAATTCTACTGTGCTTGTAGTTTAATCGGTTATATCCTTCAGCAGATGAGATGAAAATCTACAGTGGCCTTACGAAAAAACAGATCAAAGATTTCTGGATTTTGTAATTGCTTTGACTTTTCGCTAATGTTCTGGCATATTGCTATTACAGGCCACATTTACGTTTATTCATAGGGGATTTGGTTTTCAGCCCTTATAAATATCAGAGCAGACTTTTAGGCTAATTTCTTAATTGAAAAATATATGAAATAGATAGAGGAGGAGTGATGGGTGATGCTAGGGAGGGGAGACAGATATAAAAACCGATGAACGGATTTTTGTCATTTCTTGATTCTCCTGCCACTTTCGAACCGTTACAAACGGACTGAAAAGATTATTTTTCTTCTACTATTCAATAATGAACAGATGTATCGCATTTATATGCATAACTATTGGCACTTATTATGGAAGACGATGAGAGTTCCTTAAGAAATAAATTCATATATCCATATCCCTACTTATAGGTGAAATATTTCGCTTGGAATGAATCTGCAAACCCCGAATATATTGAATTAAATTTTTATTTATCAATTTTATTTATTCGTTAGTTTGCTTTCGTTAAATCGTGAAGCTTAACATCGCACGTGTGTCTTGCATAAGTAATAAAAATGATTTGTCATAATAAGTGAAATAATTTCATTTTCCTAAAGATATATACGCGATAACTTATTAACGCAAATTTGCTATAGCATTTCTCTATCTTACACCATCCCGCTAATGCGTAGGACATGCCACTGTGCAAGCAAGTCTATGTAGATTTTTTTAAAAGCTCTCAACTTCAATGACAGAACGAGAATTGTAGAAAAAAGCTTTGAAGAATTAGCAAACATTGCTTAAAGATAGACGTGTACATGAAGCAAGGATGCCGATGACAGAGAATATAAAAAATTTCAAAACATAAACTTAAACGCAAGAAACGTTTGTGCAATGTCAGGTTAGAAGGACTTTGCGTATTCTTAATCTAGACCCTTCAGTTTGCCGATACTTTGCTACGGGCATTTCTACAATGAGCGTATGCGAGCGAGGCAGGCAGAAAACCTGCAATTGCCATTGTCTCGGAAATTCGAAACTGGACAATGTGAAACGTTAAAATGAACAAGGCCGATCGTTGAATGCCCTACATACACTACTTCATCTAAAATATCTCACAAAAATTAACCTAATCGACATATAGGCCACATAGTCGAGCAGATAAGAGTCGCGATTAGCAAGTCAGTGAGTTGCGGGTTCAAAACTCGGTGCGGTAAAGTTAATTTTGGTCGTACCTATTGCGAATGCTCGCTCGGTAAAGACATAACACTTGCCGATTGAGCGCATATCCATTAGGCTGGATCTAGCGTTTTTATCAATTTACCCTTTTTGCTTATTATCGTGTAACGTAACTATGGCAAACGTATCCATATTGATTATCGTGTTACATAACTATGGCAAACATATCCATATTGATTTCCCGGAAAAAAAAAATAATGCAAATAATGACATCATAAAAGGTCTATTCAAGTCGGTCTATTTCAAGCCTTTCGACGGCATACTTAAGACATTGATTTTCGTGCTACCGAACGGATCGCACTTTTAATATATAGTTCAACCTTTTCACCGCGAATATAAAAGTCATTTTTTTAAGATGGAAATAAATTCACAATAAAGGCGTTCTCAATAGTTTTTACATAGCACGTATATTGATAAGCATTTTTAATTATCCACTTGCCTTAGTATTGATATTAATAAGCAATTATTAAATATTAGTAACATTAGTATGTTACTGCATATGCAATTCGATATCTGCAATGGAAATCGTTTCACATATTGATAAGCCCGGTACCCCGGGCAACTAAAGTTCATGTAAATATGAATTTTATTTGGTGACAATATATCCACAACATGTAATTGCGAGAGCGATATATCTCAATATCCCATTTTTGGTCGTTATGCTTGCATGCAGGCGCGCATACATTGGAACTATCCTAAAGAATGATATTTCACCTTTTCATATTTCACGTATCCATCCCTATGGTTTATGCAATCTTTGGCATTTTAAGGATTTGTCTTATGTACGTATGTCTTATGTATGTATGTATGTATGTTAGCAAACATGCTCGGAGGTTTGGTTGACTGTGGTTTATACCTGTGCTCGTTTTAGTCAATTTTCTTTCATAAATTGTATACAATACAGAAATAATCGCCACCGCAGCTCACTAAAGGATATGAATGAGAGCTAAAACAATACAAGCGAGTAACAGTAACCGCACAGTTCCTTAAGGCATTAGCAGCAATGGCAATATCGAAAACCAATTCAAGCAGCATTTTGTTCAATAAAGAAGTATGTTTGGTTGTATATTTGCGCATATATATATATATAAATATGCTACATTCCTATTCACATATTTCGTTTATTATATATGCACATAAGCATGCTACACCATTTATAATACATGCATTATATGTACATATGTATGTATGCACAAGCATATATATATATATATAGTTTTATATATATATATATATATATATATATATATATATATATATATATTTGAACGCAAAATTACATTTCGCTATCGCTGATATTTATAGTACTCTGTACTCTCGGTCAAGTAATGCCTTGGCAACAGATTTTACAGCAAATGCGGTCAACCATAAAACTCATAGTCATACCGTTGCATTATTACGTCCGATATTACATTCAAAATTAAACACATTCATGCATGTACTTGCCATCGTGCAGAAATTCATAAAATGTTATACGAACTCTGCTGAGGACAAATATTTCTCGTTTTTTTTTTTTTTTTTCTTTTTTTTTTAGTTTTTCTTCTTTAGTTTCTCCCCAACAAGCACCAGAACAGAAAAATAAAAATGACATTTACAGACAGACGGTACCGTTCCAATACTCGTGATATCCATTGAACGAACGAGCGAACGAGCGAACGAACGCCTATACACTTAGATGAGGAAATTGTTAGAAAATCGCTTACAAAGAGCAAATTATTTGCTAACCATTAAGAAAATAAAAGCAAGCTTCTCATTGAATGTTACGAACGCACACGCACACGCAAATGACGTCTATTTGCCGCAATTTTCAAATAATATTTAAAAAAAAAACTTCTTAAGCTATTATTATACTTTGAAGAAAAGAATAAGTTTTTGTTTTTTTTTTTTTTTTTTTTTCTTTTAATATCTAAAGTAAATTATATTTTGTGTGAACTTCTGCAAAAAAGCGCGTAAGATGGATTTATTGCCTCCACATTTGTAGGCGTGTTGCATAGTGAGAAGAGAACTTTATTTATTTATTATTTATTCCTATGATAGTCATTATGATGATCTTAATTACATTTCATGTTTATGTTCTCGCACACATTCCATGTTAAAGCCATGAAGTAAAATTGATTTGAGAGGAATAGTATGCCAGCTCTAGCTACACTTCAAAATTAGCAGCATTTTTAATTTTAAATATGATCCCATATTATCTACAAACGTATGAAATACAAGCAAGACATTGCTTCCTGTGCCTTAATCCTTAATGTTTGTAGAAAGGCACCTTACAGTTAATAGTATATAGATTTCAACGATAACAAGTGGCTTAGAATGCAACGCTTATCTAAGGAACGTACATCATTAAATGCAAATAATGGCGGAAGTAGAGCAACCAAGTGAAGATTATTTCAAGAGTTTTAGTTGAGTAAGTCCGACTTATTTCAATTAAAACTTGCATTTATGCAAAGCTGTCGAGTCGAGTCGAGTCAGTGGTGGGAAGAGTTTTTCTTCTTTTTTGTGGATATCTTTTTCTTTTTTTTTTTTTGTATATTTAAATATATATAAAGGCTTTCAATTATTTATAAAGGGAGCAGCCACTAACACTCTAACAGCTTAAAAAAGGCGGTCTGGAAGGAAAGGTAACAGAATAATAATATTCAAGGAAGTTATTATATATATTTAAATATTTAAAAAAAAAAAAAAAATTATATATGAAAAATATTAAAAGATCGCACCACGAAAACCATTCATTCTCTCGACACACCTTTAACTGATGGTACTCTTGGGCATGTAATGTAGCTGATGCTTGTTTGAATCCAAACAAATAAGAAAATTAAATTTGATTGGGATCGAATCTTTTATGCCCACGAATGTGAGCCTATCTGCAGAATCAAACACGATTTGCATGGCGATGGTTTGACAACGTCGGACGAGGCGCTCCGATCCAATGAAGGTGGCGGGACGTATAAAAATCCTAAAAGTGAAGGGCTAAGGGCATGGGCTAGCGCCCAGATCGCGGCATGGTTTGCCCTTGCAATCAATAATAATAATACAGTAGTACTTGTGTAGTAGGGATAGGGAATAATAATAATACAGTAGTACTTGTGTATAGGGATCTTACTCAGTCGATATACCTATGTAATATAGTAGTTGAGCTCGCAAAGCGGCCACTATGGCCATTTGTCCCAAATAGAGTGTTTGAAAGAAAACACAGGAAAACGTCTCCTTTGAGAAGAAATGGGTAAATACTCACAAAACAGTCGTGAAGCGTTAACTTATCTTGTGTTAGCGTGTAGTCGAAGTTATCTGATAGGGAAGGAGAATCATCAATGTGATCAATAAGTAAGTAGCCGACTTGTAGTTCTCGTTAACGAATCAACTCAATTATAATCTGATAAGACGATCGAAAGATTTTTCATTCGTCAGTAAGAAGAATGCATACTTGATCGAGAGCCGTAAACGCAATGATTGCGACAGAGAGTCGATAATCGAGAGCTTTCGACTTTAAACGATGTCGTCAATTATAAGCCGATCTCTCACAAGTGCCATAGGGAAATAGCTTTTCTCTTTCATCATAAATTTCGTTTAGCTTAAAATATCGAGCACAAAGACTTTGTCATTCTTTTATGTTTTCAAATAACACGATTAGGTGAGCAGTTGAAATTTGCTTTCTGCGTAAGGCTTTATTTATTTCGGTCTTCACGCTTATCAAAAATGTACGTAACTTAATTTTGAACATTCCTTTCTCTGTTTACACTTAAATTATTCAAAAAGGAAGAAGAAGAAGTAGAAGAAGAAGAAAGGTATTTTGCATTTATTTTGAAAAAAACCTCTCTTCTGCTCTTTCTAAAGAGCAGATATCCCTTTCGACTTGTTAAAATAGAGAAAACTTGTTCAAAAAACTCTTATACAATTTCTTGGATTTCCATTCAGCAAAAATCTCCCATTTTGTTAAAACCAAAGAGAAGAAAATCCTCTTCACCACCTGTTAAGAGAAAACTCTATGAAATATTTTATCAAAACGTAAGAGTAAAAAATGAAAAATTTCCCATAAATCTCTTCAAATTACGCAGGCTTTTAGTGTGTGAGTTAAAAGAAGAACGAAAAATAAAAAAAAATAAAAAAAAGAGAAAAACAAAGAAAACACAAGAAGAGAAAGATTGCAAAATTTTAATTTCCGTTTTCTCTTATTTTCCGATTTTGTTTTTATGTTTTTTTTGTTTTTTTTTTTTTAGATTTGATTACAACAAACACACAAATTTTCACACATTAATCTGTGAAAGTTTAATTAATTTGTTCTTTCCGCTGTGACACAAGGATTTCTTTTTTTTTGTTATTAAAACTTCGTTTGTAAAAAACGAAAAAAAAAAAAAAACAAAAAAAAATGAAATAAATTTGTAAAATGTTTTCTCTATCGTTTACTTTTACTTTACTTTTTGTTTCACTCGTTTCCATTCATTATCCCCGTTTACGTTAACTCTGTCATCAATTCAGTAGGTTAAGTGAGTAAAGCACATGATAAACTAAGCAATTCGTGTACGAAACTAAAGGCTTTCAAGAGTGCAAAAGTTAGCAAATTAAAGTTGGCATAATTTTCACATTAGGTTGTGTGTGTGTGTGTGTGCACACGTTTGGTATTCTAATTTACTAAAAAAAAAAAAAAATACTTTTACCCTAATATCATTTGCGGCATACATTTTAAATGATGATATTTTTTACTTTTCCATTCGCCTTGCATTAGTAAATGCGCGCACACACTATATCGTGCTCTAATAGTAGTAGTAGTAGGGTATCTCAAGCGCTATATAATCCAGTCCACCACCCCTCTAGCTATCAATTGTCTCATTTACTCCGTTCTATGTTTACGTTACCAGTAACTAGTGAATGTGCGCCTAAACCATTTTTTTGGATATTAACGTGAGCGTCATTATCACAATAATCAACATCATCGCTACCAGCCAAAAACCGTTAGACATATTTAGAGTAGCTTTGATGCATGCATGTGTTTTTAACACGAACGTCTCTCGAACATGAATCAGGTGTCTGTTCTTGTGTGAGTGTTTGTGTTTGTGCAGACAAGGGTAACAGCGTGTATGGCTAAAGGTATTTTGTCAGCAGCAACATACCAAGCTAAAAACGAAAAAAAAAAAGAAAAAAAAAAGAGAAGCGAAACGAAACGAAACGATTTCCGCTTATTTGGTGGAATACCGGAGAATTTTCGCACGGAAATTTGCCGTTGACGATGCCAATTGCAATTCTTTAATGAAATTGATGATGTCAACATCGCTTCCGGTGTTATTGCTCTGATTTCTTCTACTCTTCATCACTTGCAGATGGCGGTACATTGGTTTGTGAGTAACGTTTGTAATATTCTGGGTTTGGCGTACAAAATGCATTTCCACCCAAACGATTCTATGCAAACAACACGCTAACGATTACGACTATGACTCGGGAATCCATTGATATGATAAAAGTTGAATTTCATGAAAGCAATCTCCGTGCAATTCCGCGAGTCCGTGATAAAATTGGGCGACCCAAGGATAAGTTTGTTCAAAAAAGTTCGAGAAAATAAATTCATATATGTCTGACGTGATATTCTCACTGGATCGACTGCCGATCTATTGCTAGGTATTTGAAAGGATTGGATTGAAAAGACAAATTCTGGGCCATATATTGTTATCCCAACTCCATCCCGCAATTAAAAATCGAAAAAAAAAATTCTTGAAAATATTTTGAAAATGTTGACTATAGTTTAATATCTAGACTGCAGGCTGTCCGAGGACTCCACATCTACGCCAGAGTCTTGGCTTAAGTACGGATCAGAATTATTATGAAATATCTGCCATCAAAGTACAGTTAAGTGTATACAACTAATAGAAAACTGTGGACGCTTTTTTCTTTCAATATAATTATTATTAAATATTACCTAGACTAGGAAATTTCAACTCTTCTAGAGATCAAAATTCCTATATTCACGTAACTTGTACACATCACGTATGCATTTCACTTCTATTTAATACACATTGACAAAAAATTAATACTTAAGACTCATGCTTACTTCAATTGAAGCGCATTTAAGATTCGTTCTAAGAGACGAGAGTAGCTTTAGTACTCGCTTTGCGCGTCAATTGTTTGCTCCACTACGTCACTTGTTTTTTTTTTTGAAGATACATTTTTGTAGTTTACTAGCAGGCGAATTTTTACATGCCCACTATAGAACGATGAAAGATATGTCGTCTCTCTTTCGAATGTTCAGAAATACGCTTCACATATATTTGTATATATCCTATGTAATCTTGATCAGCGTAAGATCGTCTGTGCATTCGTCCATCCGCGTATCCATTCATTTGTATGTCCATCCATCGGCCTGTCTATGTACCAGTCTCTCCGTCTATTGGTTTATCCATTTGTCCGTCCGTCTGTCCATCCTTTTTCGCAGTTATTCGGTCTTCTGTCGTGGAAATGACGATAAAAAACTCAAGCTTGGTGTATATTACATATTCTTAGTTTATGGTCATGAATTTAGTCTAAAACTGAAATGATCTGCGGACTATTGTTCTAACAGTATATGCCATTCACAGCAAATACTCACGCAAAACTTGAAAAAGACCCTCTAATGCCTAACTATAAGAATGTGTGTAATTCGTTTGCAAAAAAATTTAATCTAAACTTGAATTGAAATTTTGTGAAGAAGCTTCTTACCCTTATTTGAAAAGATATTCCGATAGACCTACCGGCACATTCGATTCACAATTAACGCTATGCCTTGAACTCTTATTCATTGAGTCGAGATTAAGGATATCGAAGCTTGCCTTCATTTATTTAGCTTTGTAATGTGTATATACATATGTGTGTGTATGTGTTTGGATATTTTATGCTAATATGCAAAACAATTTTTTCAACTGTACTTAATTTTCTTGTACTAGAGAGAAGAGCAGATAGCAACGTTCCTCGATTTCGTTCTTGTGAAAGTGATAATGGGTTTTATAAATTTTCATAAAAAAATTTATTCCATTGTACGCCATCTCACGCAATTCTCATCTATATGATTTATACACATGCATATATATTTACGTAGGTATGTATATATATATATATATATATATATATATATATATGTAGAATGACGTACATAGTCAAGTACATTGTATTAATTTTACACAAATACACATGCGTGTGAGGGGATTTAAATGCGCCACAATGTATTACTTACGTGTATTCGTCAATTTCGTTTTTCATTTCGAACATTTTGATTGAGCTCTTAAATGGGTTTTACGTACGTATACGTTAATTTGTCCTATATTTACACGTAATCATGTTAGTTTTGGCTTAATCTTTGTTGTTTAACGAATCAATTATACTAATGATATTTAACAACATCTTTGCAAATGAATTCATTTATTTGTTACTATTTTACGGGGAAAGTATTTGTAGGGCACGTGTCAATTGAAAAGTGCAAAAAAAAAGAAGAGAATCTCGTTAAATAAACAACGGCACATGGGCACGTGTAACATTTTATTGAATGCTTTAAATCAATGAAACGCATTAAAACCGATTCTTTGCGCAACAACCCGGATTATCGCAAACAACATTTTCAACTTTAAAGTACACGAGTAGTAGTTAATCATAGGTAATATTCATACTTTAATGGAGACAATATTTTTGTATCGAATTTGTGACATAAGACTAACATTACCTTGATTAAGGAATGCTAGAGTTTTTTTTTTTTTTTAGAGACAATGGAAATAGGAGGGTAGAAGAAGAAGAACCAAATGGAGGAAAATGCGAGAGTTTTTTTTTTAGAGACAACGGAAATAGGAGGTTAGAAGAAGAAGAACCAAATGGAGGGAAAACTAAGAACAGCGGAAGCAATTGTTATCCCGATTATGAACTCGTAATAAACTGTGAAGAATGCAAAAGCGGCCTTCTATCAAAAGTGTAAATAAATTTCTGCCGCTTTTTGGGAAAAATACCTCAAACGTTTAATATAAGAAAAAAGTTTTCGTCAAAATATTGCCTACGTCTTTCATCTCTCAGTTAAAATATGAGTTGCAGATGAAAACGACAACTGTCCTCCTTGCACAAAGACCCTAAAAAATCTATTCATGCAATCATGTGAACACAAAAAATAAAGTCCTACTCGAATAGAAAATAAGCGGCAAATAAAAGCGATGTCAACCACAAGAAAGAATACCTTGAGGATACAACCGATTTATTTCAGAGCCGCTAACTTTCACTTGGTGGTGGTGGTGTTTCTCATATTAGTCCAAACCGGACTGTATCGAAAAAAGGCAATAAGGTGTAAATTTCGGCATATTGCGCCCATTCTTCAGTTCAGTTGCAATATTTGTTGTTGTGGGTAACTTTTTCCCATTTGAAACTGTATTGTTTACACGTGTGCGTAGTAAAGTCTAAGTTGAATCGAATAGTCGGGGGCACCATATAGTATTCCGTATGTTATCTCCTCGAAGGGAATGAAAAATTATTCAATGCGATAACAGTTATTTTATATTTATATATTTATATAATATATATATTTATCAAAAATATGCATTCATCCCCCCTTGTACGTCTCCTGAATAGTTTTATACAATTTTTATAGGCGTGGCATTCGATTTTATCCTATTTTCAAAAAAAAAAAGAATATTCTCTTTCCATATATATTCACAGAAATGGTTTGGTTGAAATGTAATATATATTCTTTTTTATATAAATGTATCAAAAATATTCTTTTTTATATATTGGGAAGATAGGTAAGAAAGCATAATTTTCCCCCCAATTATTCGGCAACAATGGATATCATAGTTAGGCTATAATTCATTGTTCTGTGATTTTTAAAGGCAATCTTACAAGAAGAAACTGTGAGTCGTAGAAGTACTGATACTAATAGACTAGAGAGAATCGCCGCATCATAGATGCGGACTAATCAATCCAATATGAAATTAAATTTTAGTTCCGTTTATCTATCTGATTATTGAAAGATAGTTTTGAGACCTTTTTCCTTTCTTGTCCCGTTTTTAAACCCGTAAATTTTTCTAAAGGTTTTTTTTCCCACAGAGTCCGTCCGTAACTAACGAAGTTTCAAAAGATAAAAGATAACAATAATAATTAAATCCATTCAGTATCGTTGTTCTTCTGAATAACTTCTTTATCATTTTCCTGGCTGTGCCTCAATAAGTTACTCGTTTATGTTAAACGGCGTTGAAACTGCCTGAGTGTATTATGACTTGGATGTGTTCTCTTATAGCCAGTGTTTACATAGAGAGAAAGCGGTGAGAAATGCTGCCACCTGACTGCATATACATATCGCATCTACTATTAGAGGGAAAATTTCCTCTTTAGAATAAGTGTTTTAGGTGTTTTTTGATAGAATAAATGTTTGCTTAATTTAGAAATATATTTAACGCAAACAACAACAAAAACATTAAAAGTATACATGATTCGTTTCATGTCCTTTTCTCTATCATTTGTATTATTAAGAATACTTAAGAGAAAATAGTAAAAAAAAAAAAAAAAGAAAAAAAAGAAACTAAAAAAAACTCTTTTTCTTAGGCACACCATTGTCACCTTTAATTGTTCGAGAACAACACTTCACACATTTCCTTTATAACGCACCTACCTGAGCATGTGGATGTTACCAGGTATGTAAAGAAATTTATATATGCACACGTCATGTGCGTTTGTTTGTATGCACAAATGAAACCGAAAAAGTGAAAACAAACAAGAGAAAGAAAAACTTAAAGCAAAAAAGGAAAAAAAAAAAAAGACACAAAAATAAATAAGTAAATTGGGTTAATTGCTTCCATCATGTACTTAAATTTGTATGATATACATAACTACGTATGATGTGCATAACATATACGCATACGTAAGTGCACGCAAAGGAAATACGAGAAAGATGCATTTCTCTTTCACAAGCATCCGCCCATAGAAATTTCTAACTGGTTTTCATGAGCTCGTACTATATATATATATATATATGCTGAGCGGTAATTATGATTAACTCTCATATGTGGCGGGTGTATCAAGCGTTAAACAGTAGTATAGTTTTATGTTAGAAATCCCATATACAAGCAACATACGGATACAATATCGAGGAAAATATAATAACAAAACATACTGACAAACTCAATACTAACTAACTGAGTAAGTAAGTAAGTAAGTAAGTAAGTAAGTGAGTGAGTAAGTAAGTAGGTAAGCAAAGTATTCTCTTCAAGCATACATGCACATACATGCATGCACAAGCATGCATGCATCGACTAAGTATGTTTTTAGAACAATTGTGGCTTTTGTGAAATTTCCAGTTTATGAAAATTTTTACTCCGAAAACCGACGCAATTTTAACGTTATAATCCGAACATATTTCGCTCTTTTATTTTCTGAAGGCAAATGGATGCACTTTATATACGTGTACGTGTGCTCGATGATATGACATTCAAAAATTTTCTCCTAAACCACAAAAGCCGTAGACAGTCGTAAAGCAACGAATGAAAAAATGAATGAGTAAATGAATGTTAAGCATTCAAATAGGACGCAGCTACACAACTCGCATGCGGTAGTGACCGATCTGTTCAATGAAGTTAGAAAGTGAATTCCTTGCATATATGCATATATCCTCTGTACGATTCAATTCGTGTTGATGCTTAACGTAATTTAAGTTTTATAATCTACCATCCATTTGCTTTGCTAGAAAATTGCTGGTCTAAAGAACCGCAAACACGTGAACGACTGACTGTACGTGTACGAGGATTGTCTGAAAAGTTAAGATTTTTATTTGAAATTTTCTCTGAAATGTTCAATCAATGCAGTTTCTCTGTAACCACGTGGTATCTCTCTTTTATGGAATAAGATGTAGGTTAACATCTTTATACCCTTTAATTTTTAACAATGGCATCGTCATTTGATCGAATTCTTTCCTCTTGGAGCTTTCGTTTTAGAAAATGAAATTTTCACTTATGTAATCTTGGTGGCATTGCAGTCAACGACTTTTTATTGTGTGCGGCATCCAATGTGCAGGCAGCTTACTCATGTGTAAAACTTGATTCAGTATATGTGATGAATACATTCTTCAGCCTCAATGTATGCTATATATTGCAAAGCTTAATTACATGATAGGTTGGTACCATTTAGCGAATTTTAACGATATTTTCACCGGTGATTACAGTTGTTGGAGAATTCAAGCGATGTTTTGCAGCGGTGGTTACATTTCTTCATCGTCCCGAACGGTAATGGTTAGCCAAGCTTGAGTCAGCAGCCAAATATTTCAACCTTGCAAAGTCGTCGCACTCGTTTGTAATTTGTGTAGACATGTCGAGGAGTAAGTGTGCTTTTTACAAGTGAACACTTACCGGCAAATTGATACTCAATTTGTTCAATTTTCGCAACGACACACTGACTCACTGAAAACTGACTAACAAACAACATCTGCGCGAGCAAAATACGATCAAAATTTTGATGAGTTATCAGCAGGAAATGTATAAAGGTATTTCTCAATTATTACCATATGACGGTTCAGATCGGTAATTTTTCAAAGAACCTACGTATAGGTATGGGAGCGTATGCTAACTGCATGCTCAAGCGATTTTAAACGTTTCGGCAGCACACTCTCCCCAATTAATCATTATTATGTTTATTACTATTGTGTTTTACTATGCTCTGTGTCTGTACTTCGAAACACTGCCAGTAACAATACCTAAGTATGCCAAATTTTGGTTAGGAAACCCATGCATACATACATTCAAATATGCTATGCCTGATACCAATGAATGTCAACTACATTTTTTCTATTCGTTCGTTTATCATGAAAAATTATTATTGTTTCGAAAAACGTCGTTTTCGATTTTATAACATTTTTTTATACACACGACCTAGACATGAACGATATCCTGCTTTTTTTTTAATTCCAACTGTAACACGCTTAACAGTTAAGAAGAAATTCCAGGTTTTCAAATTTTCTTATTACATAAAGAATTGACTGTCCATCCATCAGGCTGCCGCATATGTTTATTTATCAGCTCGCGCGCGTGTCCTTCGGACTGCCGTTTCAGTTGCCTGCTGGTACGTCTGCCCTCTTGCAGGGCCAGAGTGCATAGATCGCTCTCCTCCTCCGGAATTGTAAAAGTTATAGAATGTAAAAGAAACGTTTCAAGCATTCGGCTTAGTGCAATTAGAAAAAAATTCAAGTATTTTCATAGTATCTCATAATAGGTACCGAGTTTAAACCTTAGCATTTATTTTAAAAAATATATATATTTTTATATATTTTGCCCACATATTCCCATATTATATGACTTAAGTTAAACTTTCTTAATCTAGACGGATCAGGTGGATTTCCTTTATCTAGCTTTAGATGACCGTAATAAGTGAAAGAAGAAAAGTTTTTTTTTTGTGTTTTTTGCCTTTTGTTTATAGTGGGCTTGCATCCACCCTTGGTCTGTGGCCTCGTTTGTTAGTCAAGCTTCTCAAGCTTTAGCTTTTGACATCAACGTATGCCACATTGAGAGGTCAACGAAAAGCTGACTGATCAACGCACGCAAGCACAGACGGACGAGTAGTTACTCAAATATCGACTTGGAATCTGCCATTGATTATAAATATATATTCTTTATGGAGTCTCTGGAACGAATTTCTGAGAGATAGGAATGAAATGAGATATGAAGGGTTCATTTGCCAAATCGAATAACTCTATTTTTGGAATTGTGGGTGTGTGTGTGTGGGTGTGTGTGTGTGGGTGTGTGTGTATATATATATATATATATATGTGGCAGTAACTATGCACCTTCTGTTCACAGCGTAAAAAGACTACATACGTCTTCTTAGCCATTGAAAAATAAATAATTTATTTCGTAAGTCAAGGACTTGCTTTATGAATGCTTAAGCTTTTCTTTTGTTAGAAGAACCGCGTTCGAAATAACTAGTCCGGTGGACATCCTTAAAATTAGCTACAGCGGGCAATGTCAATTTAATACATTATTTTGCTTTATTAAAGCCACCACAAGCGAAAATTAATTTTCTTTCCAAAAATTGAGCCCATAGTCTAGTTTTTTTTCTTTTAGTCTCAGAATTTATTTCATTACTTTAAAAAAATTATAATAACGAAAAGAAAATACATATGAAAATCGTTCTCTATTTCTGCTGAACGCAGGATATAAAAAATATGTTTTATGAAGTTAAACGATTTGGCAAGTAAGCCATTCATGTCATAGTATGACTTCATATTAAAAAGGATAAATTTCACAAAAATAAGTTTCGAATCGATTGTGTAACAACACTAAAAATCAGTTTTAAAGGCACTTTTTTGTTTGAAAGCCTTACTCGACAAAGTATTAAATATTTTATAAAAAATCTTCTACTTTTTATTATGTTATATATGTATGTATATATATATATATATATGTAACAGATGTAGCATAAATGCATTTTTATTAGTTTCTCTTCTCGCACGTATTCTACCATATCCGAGATGTAGAAAAATTCGAACGAATATTGGTTCAGTTTTCCTATGTTAAGCTTACACCGCAGAGTCTTTCTCATAAAAGGTAAACCTTTGATTGGCAGTGGGTTTTCATTTTTGATAGGAAGAAGACTGGTGACGAATTGGAGTAAGATATTTAGAGGCAGTCTTTTCACGCTGTAACTTATTTTAATTGGTTTTAATTGGTGTGAAATGTAATTTTCCCGATTTATAGGAAAGAAACTCGAAACTAAGGTTGCCTTACTGTTAAAGTAAGGCGAAGTTACGAATGTTTCGAACGGTTGAAGTAGAGCGTCATTTGTCTAAAAGCAAGTACACTAGCAACAAAGGCAAAGTTCTCAATATTAAAAAGAGAAAACTTTCTCGTGAGGGGGGGAACATCACTTTCGTTTGTAGCCAGGTTCTTCTGACCATTGCACAAGAACGTGACCTTTTCTCTAAATTAATCTATTCGCTTACTATTTCTCAATAATTGTCAAAAATATATTTCAACAATCTTCTCAAGAATGCAATTGTCCTGTTATTTTTCCTTTCAATCCCAAAAAAAATTATCGAAAAAACTTTCAACTAAGTCGTATCCAAACAACAAGAAAAAAAAAAGAGATTTTCGAAGGGCAGATGGCTTACTAAATAAGAAGAAACTGGTCTCGCGCCATTCGCATGAGTAAATAGGCGAAATTTTTCCTGAGATGTTCATGAGAGTGGGGAGGCTTTAGAAGCACATATTAACCTTCCTTCCCCACAATTGTCGTGTAAGCAACACCCATAGTTTCTGCACGCATTACAAGAGTTCAGTTAAGAACAATCTCTATGATGACTTCCGATCTGCATGCCTTGATTGTTTTGGGCCGGGCTCGTTGTTTACCCTATCACCTGATGAGATGTAACTATCTAAAAATATAAATTTATTCTCCAAGTGTCGCATTGAAATTCAAAATGTTGCATTTCTTTGGTTTACTATTTATAATCAAATAATCGACTTTATTATACTTAACGTATTTCTCCACTTAAGGCATGGCAAAGTGAATTAAAAACTAGGCCTTAAAATTAGCAAAGACCTTACAACCGTCAAACAATGCAAGGAATACAAAGATCATATAGAAATTGAAATCTACTCGAATACATGACAAAGCTTTTAGGGCCAAAACAATGTAAGTAAATGTATTT